ACACACACACACACACACACACACACACACACACACACACACACACACACATAAACGAACTCACCTACCTAGCTTGATTTATAAGAAACCCCCTCTCTAAAATTGATCAGCATAGACCTACTCTAAATAGGAAGCAACAACAGTAACAAGAGCAGCACCAGCAGTACCACCATCAACACCACAACCACCACCACCAACAACAACAATATCATCACCATCATCGTCAATAATAACAATTTAAAAAAACAATGTATTTCACGCCCTCGTCAAGAGAATTTAGTAGGCGAGCTTCAACACAACAAATTCAACAAGAACAAGAACAAGAAAACTGCAACGATCACCACCACCATCATCACCACCAACAAAAACATACGATGACGACAAAAAAGTCATCAACCCCCCCCCCACTAAAAAAGCACAACAAAAAACAACAACGCAAAATCACCAAAACAATAACAACAACAACAAATAAACAAACAACAACATATTAAAAAAACAAATAAACAAACAAACAAACAGACAAGCAAAAACACCCCCTCCCCTCGTCCCTTTCCGAGATTTTAGAAAAATGAACCCCCCCCCACACACACACACAAAAAAAAAGCAAAAACAGAACGCAGAAGACAGAACAATGGAACCCGTGAATAAAAACCAAACCAAACCAATCATAAGTTTAAAAAAAATTCTTCATGATACATGTACAGCTTTACGTTCTCTCAGCGTCTAGATGTACTGCCATAAAGCTATAATAGACATACATAGCTGAGAGCACGGTCACGTATCGTGCAAGGGTCACCCCCTTGTGGCATAACCTACAAACAAGACGACAAAGAAAAGAAAAAAAAAAGAAGAAAGAAAGAAATTCATTACCCATGGGAGACAACTCAATTTTCCTCGCTTTATGTCCACCGTGGAGTTATCCTCTTAAGAAGCAGGGGGTCTCAGGCAGCCAAGTACGGCACAAGAATTAACTTGTGTGTCTTATTATATTGACGAAATGTTTATCCCACGAGGCGCCGATTTCTTCATGAAAGCGAGAGCGACCGTACAAGATCAAGAAGGAAAAATGATCTTATCAGAAATCTGATACGACGTACAAAATAGTTCTTTTTTGTTCAGAAGTGGTCTAAGGAGTCAGTTTGAAAATAAACTCGACCAGGAAACTCAAGAACACATCAATTAATAAAGCTCAAATGGAGTTTTATGCCCGAGCAAACATTGGCAATTATAATAGAGAAAATATTGAATTTGTAGAGACGTTCGGATTAAGATGGCGGGAACGGGTATCGGCGTCGTCTGGTCGAGACATAAGTCGCGGATCTCTTAAAGAGTTACTGATGAGCTTCACCAATGGAGTTGGAAACTTTTATTATTTTTTTAAAGAGGGAGAAACATTCGGTTAGCGAAGAGGGGAAAGTTGGGG